TGTCGTGAGCTAAGTTGGGAAACAGGTCTGGCGCACTGAGATCCTACTGTCCCCTTCTGAGACAGCCCCCATCAAACTAAAAGCATTGCTTCAGCAAGCAGTGGAATCAGAGCAGTCTGGAGTTTGCCATGAGTTATATCACATTTAGTGTCACAGGCTAGCAAGACAATCACACCTTGGTTTCCATTGTATTGGGTCACTTTTGCCTGTGGGGGACTGAGAGAAGGTCAGCTACTCCTGACTTGGAGAGATGGGCAATTTGAGCAACATGACCCTGCTAATGAGAAGATTTGGGAGGGAGAGGCAGTGGGGAAGAAGATGATCCAGTCCTGTGTATTAGAGTGGGATGTCAGTCATGCAGCGAGGCAAGTGTCTGGAGCATCTGAGAAACCAGGGAATCCTGTTTGTTTGGGAGGGAAATGCTCATTGTTTTCTGCCTGTGTAAGCAGCAATGGAAATGTGCTTTAAGTGATGTACACAGGGTACAGTTCTTGATTCTCCAACTGATATCAACAGCCTGAATGAGCAAAACTGGAAGTGAGTCAAAAGCCTGGTACAGATCCGGTGGGAATAGAGTTGAAACTTGGATCCTTGTCTCCTCCAGCAGACTTTTCTCTCTGACAGCAGGAGGGTGATACCTATCCATGATGTAGGATTGGTAACAGTTGCATACTTCCTTTTTCATGCACTTTTAATGAGAATCTGTGGGAAAGTCAAAGGCTTTCTGGAATATAAAGGTAGCTGCTGAGAAACTGGCTTTAGTTTTCTTAGGGGTTGGAAGTCAGCAGTGGTAGACAGAAGGGTGTTACCTTACCTCCCTCCTCATCAAAGCTTCTGTAGGGTTATTTCAAGTGTAATTTGTGAAAAGCTGAGCAGTAGGGACCTCTCCACTGAACCTCTGCTGGGTTGCATCTCACTGTTTGACAAGTAGTATGGTAAAGCATTTCTCTGTACAAGGTCAGGTTAATCTTTTTTTATGGAGTTTCACATGAATGCTTTGCTTTGGGATTGTTGTTTCTCCATGCATAAATCTTTATTATACCAATAGCCTACAGCCCCAGTGAACCAAACAAAACTCAATTTTATTCTTCTCAGTATTTATCACCGCAGTGAGAGAACTCCATTGAAAAACAGCTGTGAGTTTCCAGCAGGTGTGCTGGGGTTTAGGTGCTGTGAGCCTTCAGTGATTTCATGTTTCTTCCTTCTAAATTGGAATGGTATGTGCCAAGCTGGGTCTGGCCCTAGATTGGGCATCATTCCCTTTGGGATGATACTGAGGATGGAAGTGAAAATGACCTGTTGGAAGGTGCTGTGGACTAGAGGAGCAGGCTGTGCATGTGTCCATGCCTGCACTTTAATCTGGGGAATAGCAGGATGTGCTGCAGTGTGCAGGCTTTGCTTTGCAGCCAGCACAGGCTGAAACCTTGCTTGCTGCTTTCCAGGGTGTTGGTTTGGGTTCAGGTACGCTCTTCTTTAGAAGGGGGATGACAGATGACCTGACATGCAAGTGCTTGGAGCTTTTACCAGGTGATTAGGGTGAAGCCTCTGCGTTGAGGTTGAGCTCACTTAACTAACGTTTGTAATGAAAGATACAGCACAGGTCTCCACTGTCTGTACATACACGTGGGGATTCCTAATACTTGTTAGTTATCTGTGATATAGCTATGGGGGCTCTGTCAATGCTTCCAAATGTAAAAAGAAAAAAAAGGATAGAATTAGCTACCTTGTACTTTTATATAAAACCAAAATATTTTTCTATAGAGATAAAGGATAATCCTTATCTAGGTTTTGACTTTCTGAACCATGTACATTAGTTTTACTGTATGGCTTCCAAATTTGCAGTGCGTGAAATCAAATTCCCAGCTTGGAGGACCCTCTCAGTGTCTGTAGGGAAAGACTTAGACATGATACATAACCATCACTGAGAGGATTTTTATTCTGATATTACCTAAATTATGAGTGCTTGACTCCACAATTTTAGCATCTTTTTCTGATGTCAGTGTCATGCCTATTTCTCTAGTATGACCTGAGGAAGGCAGGAGCACTGTCAGGGTCTTGCCAGAAGGTCCAACCTCCTTCATTGGACACAATGGCACAGCTGGCAAGAGCAGCTCTCTGCTCAAGTCTGAAGCTGGTAGCTTTTAGCAGAGTTGGTGTTGCAGGGGGAAATGCTCTTGAGATGTGAAATTTCACTGCATTTGTTACCAATTAAGATGAAATTTTAATTACTGTTCCTAGTATTAAGAAATAATGACATACTTGAGGAAACACCTCTTTTTGAGAAACTTCCCTCCAGACACCTCTCCTCCCCCTTTGCCAGTGTCTAGTTCATTCCCTGCACATTATACTCAGTCATGGGGATCAGTGCAGGATGTTTTTCTTTTATGGCCACTCTTTATTTCTTGCTCTTTTTTTCCCATGTCTCCACCATGGTGTCCTCCCCAGGCCACCATCCCCTCAAAGTCCTCATTCTTCCTGGGTATCCATGTATACAAGTGTCTCCTGCCTGGATTGTCTATTGCTTATAGGTCCAGTTTTAGAAAAACCTGTAGCCAGATCATATCCTAAGCCAAACCATTCCCCATCTGCTGTTAAAAATGTTCTTACTTGGGGTAGCATTTTGCCTGCAGTCATTCCCTGGCTTCATCTGTACTCTCTCCATGGTGCTGCATGCAGAGTAGGGAGGAAAAACTTTCTTGAGAGCACAGGAAAAACAGATCCCTACGTTTTATTCCAGTTCCTGGGCATACCTCCCATTCCAGGCCATGTCCTGTGAAGTGGGGCTGGAGGTTATTGGCTTTGAGGAGATGGCAGAAAGGCACCACTGGTGCAGAAAAGATCTGTGGGATGGTTTGTGGCTTGTCTGGTTGTGTGTGAGCATGGGGGTGTACAATTTGCAGGCTTTAGCTGCTGAGCCCTCTCATCTATGTGATGTGTGAAATTCAGACTCTTGAAAGCGAATAACTTTCCCACAACATCAATTTGTAGCTGGGTAAGACAAAAGGCTGAAATTTCTGTGCCTGAAATGGAGCTGCACTGTGTCAGGCCCCTGCTCTAAACACTGCAGTATGAGAGGATTTCAAATTAAAGCACCAGAAATTTAACCTGGGAAGAATAGGGTACTTTGCCCTGCTTCATTCTTAGAAGTAATTGGAGTGCTACTTTTGACGTTCTTCCAAAAGCTTTTATCCTTTCGATAGAAACAAGCACAGAATATATCAGCACAGACAATTAAGGTTTGGCAAAATGATAAGCTGACGAAACTGAGGTCCTCTGGTAGGAAATGCTGATCACGGTATATAATGGGTAACAAAGTCTTTCTCCTTTGTTCTAGAAATTGTCTCATGCAATCCTGTCTATGCCAGGGAATTTCACAGGGAGAAAATGGTGTTTGCATGCACATTTTGGATAAGTGATGCTTTTATGGATGAGCAAAAAAGTACTCTACAGCCAAATAGAGCAAAGTGTCTGTGCATCTTTGCAAAAAAAGGATATGCCTTGTTCTGTTTCAGTTAATGCTATGCAGCAGGATAAAATTGTAAAAAATAAGCAAGCTGCACCAAGACAGGTTTGCAAAGCCATGCAGAAGGTCAGTTTTGGATGGTAATGGTATGGAAATCAGCTTGGATCATGGGCATAAATGAGGTCTGTGATTCAAAACTGGGCAGTAATAGGATCCAGTATTAGGGTCAGGCAGGTGTGAAAATACTGGTGATGAAAATCTGAAAATAAATAATTTAAGATTCATGGAGCAAAATGCAATGACTTCTGTAGACACAGTAATTGTACCAGGGAAGAAAAGTATTTTCCCCTTTGTGACTTTTTGCCCTCCATTCAGTCACATAAATCCATAGGTTCAAAGGTTTGGTTTTGGCTTACCAGGCAGTGCAGAAATTCTGATAAAGGCTTAGTAGCTATTAAACTTTTATAGGTTTGCAGCCTTGTGGTTGAAGAGACAGTAATTGAGTTTTTCTCGTGGGGATGGGATTCCAATTAAGCCGGTGTTGCTCAGTATTAGAATTCCACCCTTACAGGTTGCTAAGTGTGTGAATTTTATGTTATAGGGAGCTGGACCTTTGCCTCAGCCTAAAAAGTTTCCAAAATTATTCTCTCCTTTACCTATCTATGCAAAACTCAGTTTCATTTAATGCTCTGATAGCGCTCACTCTGGAGTCTGCAAGTGCGGTGTTGATGCTGCTGCAGACCCATCCAGTGTGGTAACAAAAGTAAAGGATGTGGTTTCCCAGAAGTGTTTGGCATTGCCAGCAGTTCTTCTCACTGAAGTCAATCAAAAAAATAGCTGAGGGCTTTAGAGAACCTACCTGAAATCCCTGACTTAAAAGTTTTTTATCCAGTCCTTTGAGCTTTTGACTCCTGGGTCTTAGGCAGTTCCACGGCTTATGAGAAGACAGAGAGGTGGCCCAAATTTGCTTTGATGTCTTTGGTACAAATCAGCCCCTTTCACCTGAAACTCATGGGTTATTTGTGTAGCTCTCTGAAACTGCTCATAAAGCTAACTTGGTACACCTTTCACTTCCCCCTTGACCCCACCATTACCCTTGAAAGGAGCTGTGACTTTATGGCCCAGGCTACCTTCTCTTGCCATGGGAAGTTAAGCTGTGAATTTCATGGATATCATTGGCTGTCATCACTAATATCCAGTGGGGAAAAAAAGAAAAAAGAAAACCTAGCATGGAAAGACTCCTCCAGGTTTGCTGTCAAAGAGAGTACTGGCTTGCTCTTGGTGGGGTTTTAGGCTGTCCTACTGAAACCAGTGCTATAAATGAGCCATGCCTATGCCCAGACACTGTGGTGTTGCCTCACTAGTCCTTTATCTGCTTTTTCAGTTGCAGCAGCTTTGTATCCTGCTGCCTGTATGACTCCCACTCCCCATTCTGCATGTTCTGCTGAATGTACTTTCTGTGTATCCAGAAAAAGCTGAAATAGATGTTGATGGCTTTTGCTTTTGTTTTATCCCCCGTCCTTTCTTCTCTTGACAGTTTTTTATCATGCTGTTAATTATATTTCTGTTGGAGCTCACTGTTGTGATTCTGTTTTTCGTCTACACCGACAAGGTAAGTCAAATTCTTCATTTTTCTTTCCTCTTCAGCAAATTTATATGCCCCTTTTCCCTATAAATAAATCATAAAGCTCTTGGCTTGGTATGCACATCATGCCTCTGTCTTCCTTGAGACACTCCTCTCAGAAGGAGCTCTCTCAGAATGCATAAGCAGCCTGGCAGGACTGGGCTGTCTTGCTTGCTCAAGTGTACAACTCAAGGTCACAGATGCTGCCAAGTGCATCTGTCATTAACAAAATAAAAGGGAACAAAAACCACACAAAAATGTCCACAAACAAAAAACAAAACACCCCACCAAAAAAAGCAAAGAAGCCAACAAGCCTTACTAGGAGCATGTAGGAGGAGATACCCATCAGAGAGAATATGATTTTTAAAAATATGTTTATGGTTTAAGAGCCACATTTATACTGTTAAAAAGGAAGTGTCCTCAGCACAGGCAAAGGCATAAAATTCATTATCTTTCCACACTGCTCCTTGCAGCACATGTGTACTTAGAGCCTAGTGGAAAGCCAGGGTAAATGCATGAGAGTTCAATAAACACAGCTTTTGTTTACACTTTCACGTTTTCTGTGTGTTTGACCATTGTTCCTTCAGTTGTACAGGCAATATTGCCTACCTGAATTATCTTTATCCTTTTCTTTAAAAAAATCTTACATTAGTAAATCCAAAACAAGGGCATAATTAAGTGCCACCTGCTTATTCAATCAAAATCAGAAGTCTCTTACAATTGAAGACTGAGGGAACTTAATAATCACAGGGAAGGTGGCAAAATTTTACCATCAATTAACATTCATCAGGTACATGAGTGGTAAACACTTCCTTTAGGAATGGAAAGACAATAGCAAAAAAAAGACCACCAAAACCAACACCATGTTCATTAATACATAAATTATTAATATAATTACTAGTATATTAGTGATATGAGATATTATATATTAGTCATATCAGTGAGGCATTGTCAGATGCACTTCTGAAGGACTTTAAAGAGCTAGGTTCTCTAGCATTCTGTAGCTGGAACATGGAATTAACTTGCCAGGTAATTACAGTAGAAGGGACAATTTAAAATTTCTTGTATGCATTATTGGATTCTGAATTACTTGTCAGCTCTTGGCAGGAAGATCTACACATCATACAGGAGTAAAGGCATCTACTTAATATGCAGTGGGCCTCCAAAACCCAAACACAACACTTGGTTATGTTTAGAAATAAAATCAGTTAGAAAATATTATCATAGCATTGTATAATAGGCTTGCCTCCCTGTGAACATAATGTTGAGTTTTGGTTACACAACTAATGAGAAGTGCAAGAAAGATGGAATAGAGTTGTCATGAAAAGGAATTATGGAGACAACCTAGATTCAGTTTAGGAAATGAATGAGATCCTCTGCTTAGGAGGTCTTACAAAGAATAATTATAGTAGTTTCTAAAATAATGGCAGATCTAAAATAAAGACCTGTCCTGAACACAGAAGAAATAAATGGAAATGTTTCTGGTTAGGTTAATAAAATAAATATTTCTAATTTTCCAATTCGTTATTTGGTAGAACTCCTGTTGTTGGCTGGTGTTGAGGCTGATAGATCAGTAAATGTGTGGGTATGGAGGAAAGAAGAGAAACCAATGAAGTATTTTTATTCATAATGCAATCAGTTCTGCTAGGTTGGCAGGTGTGTCACAGAGAATATTCATCCTTGCTCTTCAGAGGTTAAACAGTGAAAAAGTATCAGAAGGATTCCCTCCCTCCTTCAGCCTGTTGGTTTGCAGTGGGTTTTATTGATTGTTAATAAAGAGATCAGGAAATTAACTTTCTCTGACTCACATACTGCAGGAGGTAGTACCCTGCAGTTGTCTGTAAGATCAAAACAGAGTCTAAAGTACGGGCTCCAGTTCAAGTGCAGTTTTACTGAGTTAACAAATTGCTGTAGTCTGGGTATTGCAGATGATCGAATTTGAGGCTCTTAATGTTCCTGTATGACTTTAAATCTTATACTGAGAAAATCAATAGTTTATGTTACACTTGCAGTCCTGCCTACTGCAGAATAAATAAACCAGCAGCAGCCTAAAACTAACATTTTCATATAGCATGCGTAGAGTTTGTGTGCTGGCTTTCCTGATATGAAAAACAATATTGCCACATGTGTGGGAAATAGTGAGCCCAGACAAGTCCACCCAGTAATTCAGTTAATGTAGATCCTTGGAAAATCAGTGAATTAACATTCTACACTGATGCCTGTCCATCAGAAGAAAGTAGGGTTAGTTTTGTGTGCAGGAGAAGAGGACTCTGCAGATGATCACTTTGAGCAATAGCAGCCACAGGGAGGGTGTGCATCCATGTGTGTGTGGGCTCCCAGGCAGTGAAGCAGCCTCTCTGGATCCATTGCTGGGGCTGTTGCTTTAGTGCTGTGTTTGTTACTAAAAAGCATTATGGCAAAAAGTTCTTTAGAGCCATTCACAGATAGTTTTTTGGCACAGGGCTTTTGTTCACTTGCTATGGAAGGGTGTGCAGCTGTGGAGGTAAACTAGGACTCACGACAGCCTCAACTGACCTGTTCTCAACTGTCCTCATTTGTCAGCTTGGGAGAAGCCCAAAAATTGCCTCTGTCTCTAATTCTACTGACTTGGTCTTCTCTGAGCTTTTAAGCAGCCAACTTGGTCTTATGCCCTAGGATGTCATCTTTTCTTTTCTTGATGGATAAATGATGTAATGAGATAAATGCTGCCCTGGAGTTGAAAACTCTCTCTGAGCTGGCTATCCAGTGGGATATTGTGAAGAGAGGGGGACTTGGAGAAAGCTCAGGAGTCCACAGTGTAGGAAGAAAAAGAGGTATAGTGCCTTGTCTCATGTAACTGCACTGTTACAACTCCTTGGCAGAGCCTGAGCTCACACCTTGTTCAGTATTCTTCCAACTGACCTGACTAGTTGTGTTGCAAAATATGAATCTCTTGACCTCTGCAGAAGTGAATATGGGCTGTGATGGAATGCCCATTCCTATGGGATGGTTGTCAGGAAAAACCTATAACCCTTTTATTTTGTCCTGGCTGTTCCCACAGCAGCAGAGGGACTGGTTCATAGGCTGTCTTCAGCTCAATGTGAGCACCCGAGGCACCTGGAAACTCCTGTTGGCATTTGCACACATTCATATAAGAGTTCCTAAAGTGTGGCTTTTAAATTTTTGAGAAGAGCCAGCCCAAGAGATTGGGTATTGAATGGAGTTGATGTGGTTATAGAACTAAGGCAGGTTGTTATCACTCTGAGTGTAGTTTTTTTTCAGGCTACATTTATGCCCCCATTTGAAGCAGTCCAAACTCCAGTGACATTTCTGGAGTTGTGTGAATGGTTATGTGCATGGCTACCTATCTATAGGCAGAATATTCTCTTTAGTATGTTTTGTTTTGATTCCATCAATGGAGAGCAGCATTTGGCATTTTTATACACTTGACATTTCTCTATGAGGGTCTCTGGGTATTTATAACAGATCCACAGAGTACTGAGAGGGTTAACCTTAATTTTATTGTGATAAGGAGAAAGCAGCAGAGCCCTATCCTGACAGAGGTTGGATACTCATATTTCTCAACACCAGATTGGATCCTGCTAGAATGTAAATTATGCTAATAAAATGCCCAGTCTTGTACCAGTTCTAACTTGTATAATCCTCCTGGTTTTAGTGTCTGTATTTATTTTTACTGTGATGTTTCTCCTGGAAGCATAGAAAAAGAAAAGTCCATATTTACATTTTGCTGCTGTAATAGGTGGAGTTTTTTCAGTAGATGTCTGCATTTTATATGATTTTAGAGACAGAGCTATATAATACCCACAAATGAAAGAACATAACTAAACTGCCATAATGTGGGGTTGGCTTTTGTGTCTGTTGTGTTTGGTGGGGAAGGGGGGAGGCTTAAATTGTTGGGTTTTTGTTTGGTTTGGTTTTTCTTATTTTTAAATGTCAAACATAACATGCAACATAAGTCAGGAAAAGAACAAAAGCACTGAAGAATCACTGACTATGATATTTGATTATGGGAGCAGTTACTGTTATTGGCAACTTGAAGTTATGATGAGAATTTTCAGTAAAGATTAGGCCATTAACTCACTTGGGTCCCTGTGAAAATTACAGCCAAAATTCCATGCCTGCTTAGCTGTGTTGAAAATGGCCCACAGAATAGCCCCCAGAGGATTGAAAAATAATGGCTACTTCTGCTTTTCGTGAAATGTGTGAAAATGTTCTTGTGTGCCATGCTGCTCCAATATAGCTTTTGCTGCTATCCTATAAAAATATATATTCTGTAGATTGATGCATTTCTTGCTTTGTTTCTGAAAAGAAATTGAAAATTGCTTTAATTTCTGATTGATATTTTGCCTCATCCTATACAAAGACAGCAGGTAGGAATTTAGTGGATATGATTTCAAATATAGCTCAGACCTCACAACCTCTTACACATTTGGCTTTAGAAAATGGAAAAACAGAATCTCTTCCACTTGCTGCACTCATTTGCAGTTGCTCACAGAAATGATCAGATCCTGCTGAGCTGCTCACTGATGTGAGGGGGGGATTCACAAAAACCAGATGGAATTATTCATATATAAAGTTTAGTTCAGTTCTACTGCAGAAACTTGTTCTCATTGGGCTTCTGTCAAGAGAGTTTAAAAGTTTTCCATGTGTGCCTTTGACAGTGCAGCAGAAATGTCTCCTCAGGTAATGAGGTGCCTCATGTTCCCAGTCAGCACAGCCCACAGGGCTGTCCAAAATGCACACACAGGGCGTGTTAACATTGCTGAAACTGGGGAAACAGAGCCTAAAGTGAAGAGACAAGATCACCCAAACTGTGTGCAGTTTAGAGATGGTCTTAACTTATTGGAAAACAACAAGCTGTGGAAAATCCTGCAAAACTGGCAGAATGGTCACTGCACCACTCTTCAGTCAGATGGCCCTTTTCTAGCAGTGTTTCTCCATCAGCATTTGACTTTGCCTACACAATCCCCTTCTCACTGCTAGAACTC